AGGCGGCGGGGGAGGAGCTGCCGTATATCGGCAGCAAGATTTCTTTAATTACCACTTCGGATATTCGCTATGAAGGTGAGACGAAGGAAAATAATCCCTCAGCTTCCCACCGCCCTCGCGCCGTCGCGTTGTTTCGGAGCGCCTCTTCATTTGGGGCTGCTCCTTTTACAGCTTCTTTCTGCCTTTTTTCTTGTATTTTGCGGAGTATATCCAAAGACAACGACTATAAAGCATCCACTTCAAGCTAGAATCTTCACCCAATGGAAATATGCCGCCAGCGCATGCAGGGTTCTTGCACAAACATGAACGAGCTTCTCCTGCATAAATTCACGAATGATCTTTAACGAAAACTCGCAGCCTTGTAGCTTGTGATGTTTTCGTTGGTTGATGAAAGCTTAAGACCCATTGTAGTTTGTTTTTTCAGCAGATTCCCTCCGCCTCTCTGCGGTCGGCTTCTGTGTGTGTGTGTGTGTGTGTGTGCGCGGGTGTCTTGCTCCCCCACGGGCCATACGGCCCTCTTTATACTCCAACAGATATATTCAAAATCTTAATTGGATTCAATTGAATGCATTGTCTTGCAGTATGAGACTTGTTGAGGAGTGTAGCCCCAGGTGGTGGTTTGTATTCAGTTTTCTAAGTTGTGTGTGTCAAGCTTGTTTCTTCTACCCCATGGCCGTGGAAAGGCGGTAGATGCCTCTGAGTTCTTTTTCCTGTTTTGTCTAAAGTGGTGTCTTCCTTTACCGTTTGATTCTGGGGTGTATAGGGAGGTATTTGGGCACTTGTAAGTGTTGCATTACTTCGTCCTTGTGTTGTATGTTTCCTGTTTTGTTTCTGTCGCGTGCATGCATGCATGCACGCATTCAAATATGTATGAATTTGTTTTATTTCTTTTGTCTTTTCAGGTGTTCTCGACTCCATCAACCCGATGGCTTCCACCGTTTCTCTTCGCTGTGTACAGTCCTTCGGTACAGAAGGCCGACCAGTACCCGTTCCTGTTCCGCCTTCACCGGAAATATACAACTCTGTCGTCTTCTATGGTAAGTTCTCTTGCTTATTTCTTCTTTTTTGAGTAGCTGTCTTGCTATTAGTATTCGGTTTGTTAGCTCAGTAGTACTTCGTTTGCGTATTATTAGCAGCAGCAGCTGCTGCTGGCGTTTGTCTTAGAAAGGAGCTTTTATTGTCTTGTGGGTGCAGTTGAGGCTATGTATATTAGTACATATATATATTAGTATATATATTAGTATATATATGTATATATATTACTTTATGCATTTGTATGAATGCATGCAGGCAAGCATATTAAAGACTTGACAGTGTGCAGCGAGCCCGAAGTGCCAGCACCTCCTGTGGGTGCCTATCCACAAGATCCTGCAATACTCAGCATGGAGATGGGGGGCCCCTCGGGGCCCCCTCAGCGTTCGAGCGCAGCTTCTTCCCTCCTCCGTCCAGCTGCAGGGTCTCCTGTTCCGCATGTAACGGGGGGCCCCACCGGGGGCCCCTCCACTGGGGGCCCCTCAGTATTTGGGGGGCTCGGTGGGGGCTCAGCAGAGGTGGGAGAGGATTCTTGCTGTGCTCCTGCAGCACCGTTTGCAGGTAGAGGGTTAGGCGGTACAGCTTCACAGCCGCAGACTGGAGAAGACATAGGAACAGTTGCAGTTACAGGGGGGGGCCCTCAGCAAGACGGTGGAAGACAGCAGACAAACACTAGAGGTAGAGGAGGCCGAGGCGGGGGTGCAAGTGGGCGTCAGGGGGCCCGAGGCAGAGGTCAGAGAATAGACGGAAGAGACGGAGAGAGGGGAGGAAGAGCAGAGGGGTACAATGAAGGGCCCCGCGGTGTTGTCGGGGAGCTGCCAGGCAGACCCAACCTACAACTCAAAAATGAAGTGGCTGAGGAATTCGACTTCGATGCAATGAACAGCAAATTCGAAAAACCAGGTAAACCAGCTGTATTGATTTATATAATATATATATATATATATATATATATTTGCTCCCTCTTTCATATATGTATGCATATAATTAATATATGCATGTATATATATATATATATATATATATGCATGCGCTGGGGTGTATTGTGAGGTGTTGTTTTGTTTGTTTTGTGTGTGATATAATTTGCGTTGTTTTGTTTTTGTGTATGTTGCAGCAACGTTGGGAGAGGGTAGTGAATTTGCAAGTGGGGGGACTGCATATGACAAGAATAAATCTTTCTTTGATTCAATTTCTTGTGAAGCTTTAGAGAAGCGAGGGGGGCAGGAGCAGCAGCAGCAGCAGCAGCAGCAGCAAGCAAACGAAGGTAAATCTCAAGAACAAGACAACAGAGGGCGTCGCACTGGCACTCGGCAACAAAATAGAGCTCTAGATGTAGATACATTTGGAGAGGGTGCCGCCCACTTCACTGTTAGATACTTCGGAGGCCGAAGAGGAGGCAGAGGGAAAGGCAGAGGAAATTTCAACAGAGGGGGGGGCCCAGGGGGCCCCCAGCAGGGCGGTCGTGGAGGCAGCGAAGTTAAACAAAGAAGATAGAACAACAGCGAACAACAGGTTCCAGACAGCCTGCAACCCCCCTTCACATATTTGTATGCATGCATGCATGCATGCATGCATGCATGCACGTACTTGCATGCATGCATACATACATGCATGCATGCAGCACTTCGCAATAATGTTGCATATTCATGCATGCAGGCGCACGCGCACATGCATGCGCGGATCGATGTATTATGATGTACAATGCATGCATGCAGACGCGTGTGCTGCTGCATGCATCTGGAGACGGCCCCAACTGGAACTGTTGTACACTTCCCGTCTACACCCTTTCTTGTTCCTGTGGAGTGTACGTACAGCCGAGTACGTTGTACGCATGCGCCGCCGATGGCATATATATTCGTACAGACACAGGCATTGGAAGGTCTGCTACAGTTTCTAAACTATCAACGCAGAAGCAGACAAAAGAAATTCTTTTGACAGGAGATGCAGGGAAAACCCACAATATATGCAACGCAAGCTGCGACGAGGGAGGCAAAGAAAGCGACACGGCGGCGGTGTCTGTACACCTGAACAGCAGCTGTTGAAGATGAAGATGCCAGCTGCAGCGTGCTGCTTGCTGTTCATCAGTTGCTGCCTGCATGCAGACCAACCACAGAGGAGGCTGGCGTCGCTCTGCATGTGGTGCTGCTGCAGCTGTAGCCGCTGTTGCTGCAGGTGGTGTGCTGCAGCAGCAGCAGCAGATTTCTTGCATCAGTGGATGGCAAACCCGGAGGACGGCTGACATTGGGACCCCAAACCCTAAACCCTAGAAAACCACAAACCCTAACTCAGGGAACCCTGGGGAGTCCGCCTCTCCGGGCGACTTGTTTTTGCATGTAGGCCTCCTGCATCAACCTGATTTTAAACAAAACATAGTGTCGTAGAACATAGCAGGATTACTGAGTTCCAGTGTTCGGGAGGATTTTATATATCTATTATGTTGCTCTTATTGATGGAGTTCAATTACGTTCAGCAGGCGGCTGAGTCCTTAGGAATTTAGCAATGAAACGCTGCAATCAGAAGAGAGAGAAGTAGTCTAGAAATAAACTGTTGCAATAAAAAGAGAGAAGGTTTGAAAGCAGATTAATGAGGCGGCAGAAACCTCCCCAGTGTCTGTATTTATTTCAGGTGTAAATGCAATTCACTAGTTTGCGTTTCTTCGGCAACCGGGTTGTTGTTGATGAAAAAACTAGAATATACTCATTTAATCATTTAATTGCAACTTTTTTTTCAGTTTATTTCCAACATAGAAGTTGAAACGCCATCTTTTTTTACCTCTGTGTCCCTTCATTGATGATGCAGCGGCGGAAGAATTGAGGCGCCGATAACCCTGTTTCCGTCGTTTCTAACTGCATTTCAACAATATTTTTGTGGAATTTCGGAAGAATGTCATCAAATGCGTTTGTTTGAATTCTGCATCTTTTGACTCGCATGCGCTGGAGGGGTGGTAGCTGATGGTCCTATGAGATTATGCGGTGTATTTACAGAGCAAAATGCATATTGAATGAAATGTTTTCTGTAAAATAAGATTAGTTAAATAAAATAATATTCACAAAGTTCTACTGAAGCCTCGAGATCGCAGCGAGCTGCAGAAACAGCCGTATATGCATGCAGAACAGCTGGTGAGTACAATTACCACTATAACAGCATTTTAATGTAATTAATGAATTTCATGGGCCATTAATAATTCATTTAAATTCAAATATAGCCTTCCTTAAGTTATGCATGCATCTTAACAGATTTGCTGCATTTTATTGTCAACTTCTCCAGCAGCAGCTCGCCGCCGGCTCGGTCTGGTGTGTTTGTCTTT